CGAGGTACCCAACGTTCAGGAGGAAAGGAATTACTTTTATTTGAAATTATTTTTCTAAAGTCTCTCTTTCTCTCTCTCTCTCTCTCTCTCTCTCTCTCTCCCCTCTTTCTCTTTCTTTCTCTCTCTCACTCCCTCTCTCTCTCTCTCTTTCTCACTCTCTCTCTCTCTTTCTCTCACCTTTCTTTCGTTCTCTCTTTTTCTCCGACAGAACAACAAAAAATGAAAGGGAGTGGTAGATATATTAAGTAATAGGCTTAACAGGGTGTATTGCACCTAGATAACATATTCAAGTCGGTAAAAATATTGTAGTTGGCCCCGCATTCCAGTCCGACATACCTACAAATGGCCTTTTTTTCCAAAACACCGACACCCCGAGAGTTCATACAATCTCGTAGTTGAAATACTCCTAAAAAAAATTAATGTCACCAACTACACATTTCTATCTCAAACCGTTCCAGACATATGTAGATTTAAAGATTTTTTCGGAAACTACATTTTTAAGAGAAAAGTTTGCGACAAAAAAGAATCACAACTATTCAAAAAAAAAAAATCCTACAAGCTACCAAATCTCACTGAAGTTGTGTCATTTGATCAGATTTCCAACGGTAAACTCAGAACTGCGATTATCTCTCAATTTGCTAAAGTAATTGAAATTGAATGGGCAAAAATTAGCAGGAACCTACAACACGTGAGGTATGGCTGACATGAACAAAGTTCACGTTACTTCTTCCTAGTTAACGAAGAATGATCATGTTTCCTCCATCATGATTGCAGTTTATCTTATCCTGGTTTCCAAACAATATATATTAATCTAATGTTCAACTATATTGTAATTTGTATTGTTTTTGAACTGTTATTGCGGTCTGAATAAGAATATTTCTCACCATCGACAGAGCATTCGCTTTAGCAAATTTAACGTTGATTCCAAAAATGTGGTCAAATTTTGAAAAAATTTGTAAAAATAGTGAAAAATGGGCTTTTATTACAAAAAACGTAATTTCTCCAAAAAGCCTTTAAACCGGCATATGTCTGGAACAGGTTGAGTTAGAAATGTACGGTTAGCAGCATTTAACTACATTTTTGGTCATTTCACCACCTTGAGTATTGCTGTTGTTCCACATATCGGCCAGTTGTATAATAACCAATAATATATTTAGAATACAAGAAACCGCTGTCATCACCAAATGCTATTACAACAAGTCCATAAAAACTTCAGATCAGGGCAAAAACACGTTTTTCATGATAATGGGCGTGCCACCAATAATCAGGAATGACGAACTGCTGACAAGTGACAACAGCGTATGGACACAGTTGGGTACCCAATCTGAACATGACAATGCAATCTCTGATTACAATTGGTCAACATGACCTGTAAATTAAAGGTCTATTGTGACATTTTTATGCTTATGTCAAATGGCTTAGAAAGAAAGTAGTTACTTTGAGACGTTCCTCACGTCGTAGTATTTCTTCCATATTTTCTTGACCAAAAACACTTTTAGGACATTATATTGTTTAAGGCGATTTTAAAAACCATTTATTTTTATTAGTATTATCAGTGCTTTTGACTGTGTACAAATTAAATAACGTTTGATTATAAATTAATTTTTATTTTAACTTATTCACGTCTCTTTTGTTCTCTCTCTCTTTCACCCTCTCTTTCTCTCTCTTTCTTTCTCTCTCTCTCTGTATTCAATCTATCTATCTATAGAATCTATCAATCTCTCACCCTCGTTTTTTTTTCTAAATATATTATTTATAAGTTGTAGATAAAACTTGGTAATTTCATACTCTTGTACTATTATAATGTTGGCTTAAAATTGTACCCGTCGTCATCGATTACGCGGGCTAATAAGTTACAAGCAAGCCAACAGACAAAACTACAATAATTTAAAACGGCAAAATCGGTTTGCCAGCATAAACATGACTGAATTTTAAAACTTCAATGCGACATGCAAATCTGAATTCTTTCACCCTCCCTTGAGAAGGTTTTAGGGTGAAAGTAGCTGAGTAGGGATGAATTCGTCGGTTACGCCTATTTCATGTTTCCCTGTCAGATCTAATTTGCATATGAATTTCAAAGAGTCAAAGTAATTCCTGTATGTTTGCATTGTTAAAAATTTTAAAAAAATCTACGTCTTTTCTAAAGTAATTCTTTTTTTATCCCATCATTGTTGATGTATAATCTGCTAAAAAATGAATAGGGATATTGCACATTTTGTAGTATTTACTGTCCCTAGCATTTTTATTATAAACTGCATTAAAATTAATTAGAAATTATTGTTTTTTCTGGATAAAAATTTAATTAAGGGATTTTGAAAAAATAAAAGGTTTTAATCCCAAAATTTTGTTTATTGGACAAGATAATATTTGTAAACATTCTATACTGTGTATGTATAATGTCATCTGCTCTCTAAAACCTTTTTGCACTTGTTAGGCATACTGATAATAACGTCACTAATTTCATAAGGAATTTCATTCCATAGATGTTGCAATGCTGCACTCAGTTGTTGCATATCAACTGGCTGCGGATGATGATCGAAAAACTTTTCTGGAACACATCCCACAAGAGCTCAATGGGATTGAGGTCTGGAGACAATGGGGGAATGGGCAGATGGGAAATTCCAAGGTTTTCTAAACATTGAAGGGCAACTCTGCCTCTATGAGGTCTGGCATTGTTATCCAGAAATCGAAAATCACTGCTAATTGCCATTGAGATCCCTGGTTTGAGGAATATTCCAAGAAATTATTTCAACAATATGGAGTTCAGTTTATCCTCCAGTGTAAATCTCAGCCCAGAACATTACAACACAACACCTCCTCCAAACTGCTCTGAAGGGAGCACTAACTGGGGCATAGTACAACTCCCCATCCTCGGTAGACTCTTCATCGCCCGCTATCACTTTACAGTCAGAAATGTGACTCATCAGTACACCAACTGCCTCTGCAATATTACTTGCTTGCCAGTGACCTCAATGACTCATTCTCACAATAATATTGTGAACTTCTGGTTCGCGATGATGTATTTCCATTGTTAAAGAGAATCCAACTGGATTAAAATGGAGAAAAGACTAGAAAAGGTGTTTGTTTATAAAATGAGTAATCTTCATGTTTACTATTCTTAAGTAAATCCATTATTAACATGAGGATTAACATTTGTTTGCTTTTTGTTTGTATTTTCTATTTTGTTTTATCCAACTAACAAGAATATATTGGTTAATTTAATTAAAATTAATATAGTAAGAATAAATTAGAAATATCCCTATTCATTTTTGAGCAGTTTAGATAGATAGTTCTCTCTCTTTATATATATAAAAATGAAAATAGGAAGACAGAAAGAGATTGAAAAGAAACGAGAGAAAGAGACAGAGAGAGAGAGAATGAGAAATAGGGTGAGACAAGAGTAAAAGAGAATGACAGAAATTGAATGAGAAAGATGAGATCTTTCATAAGGAATTTCATTGAGGTCTGGAGACAATGAGGGAAACAGTGGGATCTAGATAGGGAACGAGAAAATTAAGAAAGAGAGAAAGAGAAGAAAAAAGAGAGAGAGAGAGAGAGAGAGAGAGAGAGAGAGAGAGAGAGAAAGAGAGAGAAAGAGAGAGAAAGAGAGAATACTAACACCTAATTTCACAAGCAGCAAAGCAAGAATTAGTAATATATATATATAATTAAATAGCACAGCTAATATCCTGCTAGAAGATATAAATCTTTACAATAAATGTTACCGTTTTTATACTTGAGTCATTTGGCACAACATAATTGCTAATTTATAGAATGAATTAATTTTATATATATTTAATAGTTTGGAATGGCAGAGGAAAAATCAATTTATAAATTCTCCTCAATGTTTTGTATTACTACATTACAATGTTTTATAATCTATATGACTTTTATTTATAAGGAGCACATATCAGTAATATGTTTATCAATTCAGTCATCCGATAACTTTAAGATAAGAGCCTTTTAAGACACCATTATTAACTTGTCATCTATTTATTTTTAGATGAATCTTCTCTGTCCTATATTGGCATTAAATTTTCAAAATTTTTACCTTTGCTACACAAAGGTAAAACTAATTTTTCTTATTTAATTTTCTGCTGTATTATACTAGCACAATATATATGGGAATTTGGGTCGGGTTGATTTAAATAAAACATATATGAACAAGTTAATATTTATTATTTTGGGTAGTTGGAGCAGACCAAGTAAGTCAATACATATTGGGGTTGTTATCTAGAGGTTAACAAACATATACAAAAAATATATTGTAAGGATCAGAAATATAAACATAAAAAATTAATAAATAACATTCTTTTTATAATACAATCACACTTCCTAGGTATTAATTTAATTGTGTGAAAAATTAAATACTCTTTGTGGTCTTTTTTTCTTTTTTTATATACAATTAAACAATAAAAAAAGTACAAATAATAAATAATAGATGACTCTTATCTAAAATTATTAAAAATAGACTAATGTTATTAATTTAAGGAATGCTTATGTGAATTTATTTTTAGTTGAATGATTAAGACATAAGCTTGTAACGTTAATATTTCATTACCATTAGATTTAGAGAGCTTTCAACAATATAACAATTTATAATAATAATCAGATGGTTAATTGTTGTTTAGGATAACATACCAAATCTTTTTTCTAAATTTACGAAGAAATTACGCCCTAATAACATTTCTAAGTAAGTTTTATTACATTATGTATTAATTTATTATTTCATAATGATTTGACATGACTTTTAAACCCTATGAGTAGACTAAATACACATTATTTCTGTATTGTCCCCAACTTGTTTGAACTTTACTGTGTTTGGCATGTGGGCAAAACAAAAAAAATAACTAAACAAAACCACTTGTTAATACATACTACCAAACATTACAATAACAATAACAATAATAATTAAAACAGGAACATATCTAACATCATAAGTTTAAACTTTTCAATAACTTATGATCAAATAATTGTTTCAATAAAAACATTTTATACAAAAATCATTAAATGATTTGAAAAAACAGAAAAAAAAGAATTTCCGCATCACAACTGGAGATGACCACATTGCCAACCAAGAAATATTTTATTACAAGATAATTTACACAAGAGTCATAGAAGAATAAACAATCGAAATATATTTATATACACAAAAAACTATACTATACTCTGCATAAGAGACTGGATTTCTTTTGTAAATAAATATCTGTTTATTTTAGTAATTTGTTAATATAATTTTTGGTCTATTTATGTGAGCAGATGGGATTATATTAAGACTATTTTTTTGAAGCGTAGGCAACACACTTATTGTAAAGTAGCTAGTTTTTAGAGAACATTAGCTATAATCTAAATAAAAGAATATTATTTGAGAAGATAAGCACTTCCATTAAAGCTTCATTTTGTTGCTAATTATTCGCTGAAAAACAAAACAAAATTAAATTAAAATAATGAAAATGAGAGATTTAGAAAAACATTTCAATGCATATTAATAAAATAATTATGATTTGTTTATCCAACACCACAACATCAAAAATAAACAATCAATTTACTTGATTAATCTTGATAATTTTTTGTCCATTCACTCCATTTTTGGAATATTGGCATTAATATATTCAAGATTTTAATACATCATTCATATTTATAAACAAAAAGTTTAATATAAGAATTAAACAAATCTCTAAACATAGGGTTAGTAACTAACTAATTTTATATAAATTATTCACATGATTTTGTAAATTATGTATTGTTAATATACTTACATACCTAATAAAGTCCAAACTTCAAAAAACCAAACATGACTCAAAAAGTTAAAATTTAAATTGAAAAATAATACAATGTTTCATGGCTGTTTCGTGAAGCCTTAACATAATCCCAATAAATTGTAAAACTAACGATTTAGTACCCCTAATATTTTGTTGCAGTGCAATTCAAAATAATAATTATTTCTAAAACATTACTCACGATTATAGCTGAAAAATATGCTACAGAGTATTTATGAGGGTCACCTATGATATACACACAAAAACGCTATTTTTTTTCCTGTATAGAAATATCAACATAAGAGCACCATATTACAAGTTAGCTTATATGTTGAGAGCGCTGGGAAGTTCACAATGATACGAACATGCTTACGTTTTTAAACACATAAGTTCATCCAAATCATTTTTCAATAAGCAAAATGAAATTTTCACAAAAAAAGGGGGTATAAATTTTAAAAGAAACAAGGGTTTAAAAGCAACAAATTAGTTTGAATTTATAAATGCACCCTAATTGTTTATAATAATGGAAATAAATGTGTTTTGACTGAAGATGTTAGATGCACACTAATTTTTCAACATGCAAAACCAAACCAATTATTACCAACATAATTTGTCTAATAGGAAAACAAAATCATGCACATTCCCAACAGTCAAGCAGATTCAAAAAGTTTATAGATTTGATTTAACATATGAAATTAAAATAAATGCCAAGCTTAGTTGAGAATATTTTAATGTCATGGACAAATTAATGATACTGTATACAGATATAATTCATTTTAATGTATGTAAAGATGAATTTGTTATATTTACATGATCACTAAATAAATTTGAAATGACAAATTTATTTTTTAAAACAATTTTTGACCTCAACTTCTTAATAAACTTTATAAATACTTTTAAGTACTGTTTTTGTCTGTGAAGAAGCTGCAATTACAGTGTAAAATTTGGCTTGGCGGTTTAATTTTGGTTAGTAAAATTTGTTAGTGCTTTGTTTTATTGCATTTTGTTCATATAATTAAAACACAAAAATAATTCTCACACGTACCTTTTATCATTCTTTCTTTTAACTCTTTCACGATCTTCTTCTTGCTCATGTAAACTTCCACTTAATGATAAAGGAGCTTTCGCTTTTGTCGGGGAATAAGAAATGCTAACGGTTGTCTTTGTGGGAGATTTTTTTGATTCATTAAAATTGTCTGTCTTTCGAGAGAGGGGAAGTCTCTCCACTATTCCAGTCTCTAAATCTCGCATTTCTTTTAATTTTGTCTTCTGTTTTATTCTCCGTATCAGCTCATCATCTCTTTCATCGTTATTATTGATAGAATCAGTTTTGTATTTGTTACGGAAAAAATTCCTCCTTTCTTCCTTGTATCTCTCTATTCGCTCTCTTCTTTCGACGTCAGACTCTTCTGTGGTCAGTTTTGATTTGATTTCCTCTTTGACTGAATGAACAGGAGAATGTTTTTCAGCAACGGGATCATTAAAAGTCTGTTTAACTTTGAACTCTTCTCTAATTACGGTGGTTTGTAAAGGAAGAGGTGATAGTTTAGCTATGTTGTCCTTGACTGAAGGAGGGCTCGAGACAAAAGGTACTTTTCCTTCAAACATCATCCTTATATTTTCTGTTTTTCCAAAATCACAGTCTTTGCCAGATAAATTACTCTCTAATGGTACAGACGTTTGTAACGAATCTTTACTTTTTTCTACACAGTCTCTTTTCAATACTTCAGAGACAACGCTGCAGTTAACTTTTTCCATAATCGGTTCAATCTCCAAATTCAAATCAACTGATTGTCTCTTAAGATCATTTACTTTTTTAGGAGAAGGTTTTTCAACATTTTCATCACTTTCAATACTTCTAAAATCACTTAAATTAGTATCACATATAAAGTTATCATTTAAATTTGGTTCTTCATTTATCTCTTTAACTTTCTCATTAATATTAATTAAATTCTCTACAAAATCATCTTTGCTTCTATTAAGAGTAAAACTAACATTCTCATATTTTGATTCTTTATACGAATCAAACACAGTTTCTTTATCCCCCCGTTCAGGTACTTCTACTAAGCATTTGCTTGTTTGTACTTTAGATGACTGAATGTAATTTGTCGTTTCACTAACTAAAGGCTTGTCATTTTCATATCTTTTCACTCCATCCTCTTCAAAATCTTTAGTCAGTATCGTTTGTGTGATTTTATCATCACATTCCATTTTGCTGGAAATGTTTTTCTCTAACTGTGTTGAAATTTGGTCTCGCGACCAAGAATCAAGCGCTTGAATTTCTTCAGTACTAGAAACAGCAACTACTGGTGTTTTGCAAGCAGCTTTTGTATTTTCATAAAGTTCATCTGAAAGCATTAAATCTAAAACTAGTTTGTTTGCGAACAATTGCTGCTAAATAAATAAAAAATTGAATTTTAATATAGCAATAAAAGAAACAAAACATAAAAACTTGGTTCATAAGGGGAAATAAAAATTAAAAACAAAACAATACTATCAATATAACTTGTTCAGCACCAAATTTTCAAATTTGTAATCAAACACTTTCAATTCAGAATTATTAAAATAATTTATACCTTTTATACATGGAAATATACAAAGATGTCCAATATGTTATTATTGACAGACGTACACCAGGTACAAACATATAAACAGTTATGATAACGAATATGGACGAGCATATGAATGAATGATGTTGATGTTAAAATGTAATTATGTAACAGTAATGTACAAGTATTGACAACAAAAAGCCAAGGGGATATTAAATCAGATGACATCTTGAGTCACAATTGTCCAACTGTCCTATTTATCCTGCTGTCATGAAAGAACAAAATATATGCCATATTATTAATTTATTTTCTTGTCTAAACTTAATATTTTACAACAAACAGGGGGGAATAAAACGAACAATTAAGAATCCGAAATATTGTGCTAATCTATTTGATCTAAATCACTCACACACTCTGGAAATAAAACACACCATGCCTAAATCATAAGGGACAACTCAATAACTCAATAAAATACAGCTCATTTCAGCTCTTGATATCAAAATTATTTGGAAAATAAAAATAAACAAGTCTTTCATGCAGTCACACTTTCAAACGAGTCAATTGTGTATTTAAAAGTTCAAAATTATTTACCTTCAAGAGAAATTATTTCAGCATTCAATTGTTACAAACTTCAATTAGATGAATGAAAATAAAAACTACTCATTACTGGTGCCTCATTTCATAAATATCTGAACTTTTAATAAAAAAATAAATAAATAAAACTTCAAAACTAATTAAACTAAACTTTGAAAAAAAAATCTTAAGAGTAATGTTGATATATGATGTAAATAGGCAACAAAAATGCAATGTTTTAGTTAAGATTGCTGAATAACCAATAAATTAATAAAATTCAATAGTGCTTAACTGTATAAATAAAGCTGCAAGGGGGAAAACAAGTTGCTTATTGTTTTAACATCAGTTGTGTGTGGAAAACTGAAAAACTGAATGTATCATTCACTATTTTATTTCTTATGGTTGTTAAGTGTTCCAAGAGACTATGAATTAAATACGTAAGAAGTTGCTCTTGTGCCATTTTGCAATTAATTCACTATTAGTAAGTTGTTATTTAAGTCATAAACTTGAAAAAATACCTTGGCAATTAGAGAGCTGAGTGTCTTTAGAAATGGGAGGAATATCTTCTTTTAGAGGACTAGTATCTTTCACCAATTTATTAACTTCATTAACGGAATTGCGAAAATTTGAAACTTGCTCATAAATTTCAGAAGGTGTATACTGAAAATTTAAGTAATTAAATAAGTTTATATATTTGTTTTATTTAAAAAAAAAGTTATAATTTTACATACCTGAACATCTTCATATATATTGTTATCAACTTCGATATCCCTGTCATTTTTCACGCTATCATTCTCATAAGCATTTTCTTTATGTATATCGACAGACATAGTCACAGGCTCATAAGGTTCCTGTTCCAATTCCATACTTTCGTAAACGTTGACAGAAACATGAGGATTGTCCGAGCAAGACTCATACAAATCATTTTCTTTCTTTTGTAATAAAACATCAGGTACAACATTTGGTGATTCTGACAATTTTTCATACGAATAAGGGCTGATATCAGACTTTTTGGAAGAGGTCATGCTACAATCGCAGGCATTGTTGACACGAAGATTGTCATAAGAGTTAGGAGTTAACAGGGGTTGATAACCAGGAGTCAAGATATCTTCCGAAGGGCTTTCGCCTTCCATTGGATCGGGTGAATAGCTGTCAATGTAGCGAAGCTCCTGATTAGAAAACCTCTGCTCTAGATTAGATTCAGTTTCCAATGTTCCGAACACAATACTCGCACCAGAGCTGAAAAGCTGGTTCGTTTCATCCTCTGAAAATATTCTCATTTCGCTTTCTTCAATATCGAAATTCATCTGAAGTTCACTCAAATCCAACGATAACGACAATCCTAAAACAAAATTCTCTTTAGAAAATTTAGTATACAACGACCTTTATTTATTTTTACAAAAGTTCACAGATACCTTCATGTTGAGTCTCAATGAGAGAAGAAGTTGAAGGATGGTCCATTGTGTCGAAATAAGAATCGTGAGATACCGAGCGGCTGTGGGTAGAAGTCGGTGGGCAGGAGACTTGTTGAGTGCTACTACTGGTTGTTGCACCACCACTTAGAAATTCAGCAGACTTCATAACAGTTTTCTATGAATATAAAAAAATTAATAACATAATTTACTCATAAAATATAAGTGGTCATTAATAGTGCTCACTCGTTTAAATCTTCTAGGTGACTTTGTCTGGTGGTTACGTCGAGGTGTAAAAATCGTTCGCCAGTTCAATGGTTGTCTTTTCCTTGGAAGCTCAATAATAGTGTGATAAGATGTTTCATTCAACTTCTCCCCTGTTATCTCCATATCCGCAACTAATTCAAACAATACATAGTGGTATAAGTACAGAAAGAAATTTTGTGGGAAAAAAAATAAAATGCCAGTTTTAATACAAAAATTTTGAGGTTTTTTAATATATTTTGTCATGCTTTAGGCATATTGCATTTATCCAGTGTAGGATTTTCTAATGCTGTTCACCATCTAAATCTCAGTCCCATATCCATTGCCCACCCTTGAGATAGGCTAATATTTGCAATCTTTATAATTGAAATGTGCCTTACTGATTATTATTGAATTATATAAGCTCAAATCTGCACAAATGTACCGAGCCTATCACTTCTCATAGTCCACTGACAATTCCAACATTTGTCAGAATACATTACCAGCAGACAGAGAGACCCACCTCAGGTGTTGGCAGTCCAGGGTCAGACCTCAGCCTGTCTGGCAAGGTTGCGTTCTGGGGCTGGACAATACTTACATCATTTCAGCCCCCACTGAAATCAGTTCCTAAATCCATTCACACTCTCACTCACTCAATTAAGGCTCATATACACAAATAGACAAAATTGTGCAACTTGTGTCTATAGACAAAGTTCTGCAAGTGTCTATAGACAAATCGGGAGCACATCGGTTGTTCTGCAACTACGTGTAGACAAAAATCACAAGTCTATGGTCTCCCAACTCGGATGGAAAACTTGAGATATGTTGCTTAACATCAACAATAAGGGGCTGGAATGGTTGATCTAATCTTGTTTCTCACTTGCATATTTTATTTCCAACCATAAGTAGCAAATTTCCAAAATCTGTGGTGATTAGCCAGCTGATATTTCTCAAACCTAAACTCTCTTCAGCGATTTGTCAATAAACATTCGTGCGATTTTGTCCACGAATATGTATTAGATTTTACAGTGATTAAGTACTTGAAATTCCTCCATCACCTTTTACACCTACTATGTAACTATGATTGAGGGGTCAATGAGGTACTCAATATTCTGCCATCTTACACTGCACATTCACGCCTAAAAATATATTCACTCTCAACAAACACTAAGTACACAAAACTATCATTACAATATGTAATAAAATAATGCGTTTCCTCCAAGAATCTGAAACCCAGATAAAGATTATACCAGGCGGCATTCCTACACGCTCTCTATATGGAACCAAGGAAATGCACCCTTCAATTAGGTGGGACACATCGACCAACCTTTCTCTTCATGTTGACACATGGGCTAGGGCCCAAAAGTAAATACTTACTGTGAGTAGGAACTATCTTTTTAAAAAACTTAACAAAAGTGAGTGTCCTCGTATACACCTTACAAGGCCTATTCTTACACTGGGTGATGATGACCTCTCTTTACAAGCCAGGTCCTCTGAAAAACTAATACTAATTATTAGTTTTGTGTTCTTTACTCAATGAGATAGTCCCTTATAAAAAAATTATTACAAAAGCAACTCAATATGAGGTCAATCGTTTATATAAATAAAAAATATAAAGTTTTGATGGAATTTATAAAAGTAAGTGTAAATTGCAGCCAAGGTTAAGACGTTGAAGGTACCAGGTTCCAAGCCAGAGGCCTTGAATTTAAACCTAACATTCTTACAAATAGTTCAATCTGCACACGGTCACTTACTGGGTCTGTCTTTACTCGCTGTTTTTTGTTTGAATTATTCAAACGTTTCGGCATTGCACCATCTTCAATGAGAAACTGTTTGTCTCTTTGTCTGAGTAGGGTTTATATAGTTAAAACCCATCATCTATTGGGTTGTCCGGAAAATAATGCAGGATTTTGGTATTAAACAAAAAAAAAGAAACTAGTTACTTTAAAGCAATGTTCTTTAATCAAAATAATTTCCCATACTCTCNTAATCCTGTAAACGTAAACAGAATATTTTATATAGATTTTTTTTAATGAAAACTTAAAATCCTGCATTATTTTCCGGACAACCCAATACTATATTACAAATGGGCTTGTTTACAAAACCACCTTGAGGGTTCATGTAACTTCATAGTTGAAATACTCTCGTAAAAATTTGATGAATAATTGAATAAAAATCTATCATTACTTTATGACCAACCAATGAAATTAACAGTACAAATTATATATCATCATTATTACCAGAGTGGGTTCAAAGTCTGTGCATTACTACAATTATTTCTTATGATTTTTCCTTCTCGAAGGTTGGATAATAGGTCACCTCAAAAAAAACAACCAGTTTTTCTTTCAATCAACAGCGTTTCGGATTTATTTTAATCCTTCCTCAGGTGAGTTAACGCAGTGGTTAAAACAGTGGTCATCAGTCATTAATATTTTGTAAGTTTATTTAAAAAAAGAAAAAAAAGAGCCAGTGTGGTACATATTTAAATCTTTCAGACTCCGAACAAACGTTTTAATATTTTGAATCTGACTGTTAGGTTCAAAATATTAAAACATTTGTTCGGAGTCTGAAGACTTAAATATGTACCACACTGGATCTTTTTTTAAAATAAATTGTTACAAAATATTAATGACTGACGACCACTGTTTTAACCACTGTGTTAACTCACCTGAGGAAGGATTAAAATAAATCCAAAACGTTGTGGATTGAAAGAAAAACTGGTTGTTGTTTTTTTTTAGATGACCTATTATCCCACCTTCCAGAAGAAAAAATCATAAGTTAAACTGTTGAGGTTGAAATATAAAAACCATCATTATTTCTTATTCTGATTGTTTGTCACTTGTGTCTTTAATCAAGATTTACAAATTTATCAAGGGTTTTCATTAATTCAGTGCTATCTTCTTTAGAATACTTAAAAATGTGAAATATGAATTGTCAGGTTTCACAATATGTCATGCCATTATTAAAAAATGAAATTTCCAGGGATGATGTAGCTATCTATACAGTCAACTCAAGGTTGGTTTAGAAATTTACCAAGGGAAATTTCTCACTAAAATAGTCAGAACATCCATGTTCAGATTCAAGTATTCGTTTGTAAAGTAAGTCTGTAGTATTTCTCAATAATTCGATTTTATCTTTCTTGTTATTGGTAGCACTGTTTATTTAATCATTATTGCTTACACAGCCTGAAAAGGGATTAGTTAAGATGTTTTTATTTGTTAGTTTCATTCAAGATCTGAATTTTTTCAAAGTGTTTTGCTAACTTACAGTAGAGGAAAACTAGCGCATGTTTTTTTTACTACCGGGAAGGAAAACCCATAGCCCAGACTGCTAGAACAAATTTTGATGTGTATGGTGATAATACATTAGGAGAAAGCATTTCTTTAAATGGTTTGCTCGGTTCAGAAGTGGAGCTTTTGATTTGGAGTGCAAATTGCCCTGGACATCTTCAACCAACGATGATGATCTGATTCAAAATTTTGTCACAAAAAACCCACACACTCAATGTCATGAGACATAGCATGGACATTTAAAATGTCTCATACAAGTATTTCATCACACCTGAGAACAGCTGGATATGCTTGTTAGCTTATAAGTTTTTAATCTAAGTTCCCCCTACTAAAATGTAATGTAAACAATGCATATTAAAAAAAAAATTAAAATTAAAAAAAAATGCTGGTGAAAAGTGGCCTTTTAGAATGTTCAGAGAAAACAGCCAGTAACAGCACTAAAAACCAGATTCCCTTCTAAGGAAATAGTGCATTTGGTTGGATTAGTAGAAGACTTTAGACTTATTTTACAGCCCGATATATTTCTAAGATCTTTAGAGAAAAATCCACATACAAATTCACAAAACCATTATCTGAGTTATGAGTACAATAAGCAGATAGAACACCAGAAGCCAGTAACCAACATGCTTAAAAACATAGAAATGTACATAGATGAGGCCAAGACCCAAACATTGGGCTGTAGCACCACTGATGACAATAGCGATAAGCAAGGTTGAGAAGGCAGGCAAGCAGTCTTTGCGAGCCGGGGCTCAGTGGGGACATCGGCGAGGAGTGGGGCCTGGCCAGAGGCTTGAATGGGTCGGTGTGGATTCAGAAACAGATGTGAAAAAAAAACTTTATTTTATTTATTATTTTTTACTTTATTTGTGTGTGAAGGAAAAACTGCCTTGGAACGAGAAGGGTTTGTTATCCCGGTGCTTGACGAGGTTCTAACTTTTCTTTTCTTTCTTGCGATTTTGCTTTCTGACTGTTTCTTTTTCTTTTCTTTTTTTATTGTGGAAGAGAACTTGTTTTGTTTTCTTTTTGCTTTCCATTTTATTCGCAATACAGAGGACATTGATATTTTATTTTTTTATTTTTTTTATTTTTCGCCCTAGGGTTCATTGTTTCCTGAAAAGGAAAGAGAAAAACAGTGTGGTGCCCGATTATTTTTTTTTTAAACGAAGCAGCCTCGGAAAAAATCTCTAATGAGCCCTAGGAATCCGGAGAGCGGGTGGATTGTCAACAATCTGAGGTGGAACCAATAACTCAATTGTTAGTAGCTTGTAACAAAATTTCTGTTTTAATAATAATTATATTTAAGGTTTTGGTAAAATTGATTTTTCATGTGTAATGGAAGGCTGTTTAGCTTTTGACAAAGAAACTCTTGTCAACAAATCTCTTGTTCTTCAACAATAGACTGCAAGTTTAGATATTAAGCTGAATGCAGGAAGGTGCTGAAGAAACCTCTGGCGCAGGAAGGCCATTGAGTTACTGTCAGAAGGGTTAAAAGTATAAGAAAATAATGGCATTTAAGAGTTGAGTCATTCTGCCTGTAGTTAATGTAAAATAAAAAGCTTGGAGAGAAAACTCAGGACTTTCGACTCACCCTGGTATTTTATTTATCTTGACGGGATCTTATTTTTGTGCTAATACACATGTCATTTAATTTGTGAAGAAAATTAAATGTCTCACCCCCTTGCGTCGGCGAGTGCTGGCCACGAGCCTGAGCCTCCTGGAGGGTCAGCAGCTTGGTTGGAGAACATACAGCCAATGATTTGGGCCGCGGTAAAGACAAATCCCCTACGAAGAGTGAAATACAAATAAATTAATGCAACACATTTCTTTAAATTTTAGTATTTAAAAAAAAAGTCAAGTGTTTACCATCAATGAAATTATGTTGGAAATGTTAATATGAATTGTGTTTACAATGTGGGAAGAACTTATTTACTTGAGTATTAATTTAAAAATGCAAACGTAATTATGCAAGTGCAATTTATTCAATAAAATAAATAACAATGTTTTAAAAATAATATTTAATAGAACAAAAGTTTTTTTAAAAGTAGAACAGGGTTCTGAACTTCTTGACCATTTTATAAAACAAAGATAAGAAGTGAAAATCTTCTAATACGTATGACCTTTAAAACAAAGAAAATTGTTTAAGAAAAAACTTATAAACTGAGTTTATAAATTAAAAATAAAAATTCTTACCTGGTTGATTATTGAAGATAAGAGGTGAATAAAGGATGAGATATTCCGTTACAACAGCCTGCACACCCACACCTTGAAGAGCAGCAACACCTTGATCTAAGCTTCTGCATCTCAAAAGATTAGGGGCCCAAACAATCGCAACATTCCGTGCAGTCATGCCGGTCCCAGTGCTGTGGTTGCAAACTCGTCCCAAATGGCCCATCAAGTACTCAAGAGTCCTGAAAAATTAAATTAAATTTACAGTTACAGTACAATTAAAAATTTCAATTACAATTAAAACAGAATTTAGAAATTTATTAAACCTGTAATGAGGCGGTGGAAGCTTCTGAACGACTTTTTTCATATTTTCTAATCTTTTCTCACTGGGTGATTGAACGGCGGCGACAAACTCATCATAGAGTTGATAGGTGCATAAAGGATTTGGAAGCTCTCTAAAGTACATTTTCAACAAGGAAGCCACACCGTGGATATCTTGTTTTATTCCAGAATCTTCAGTTAAAACTGGTACTCTATCCTCATCAAAAATTGACCTGTAATTTGTTTTAACAAAAAATTATTTATATATATTTTAAGTGTGAATCAAATAGGGGAAAAATGATATTAACCTCAGTCTTTGGATGTTTGACGTAACTCCAGACAATCGGTAAATACCATCTACTATGCCATGGTTTTCTATAAATTCAGAGCAGCATTTCAGCACCAGAGGAACTAAACATGTTTAAAACCATAATTTTAAAATCCAATTATTGATTTTGTGTATTCATTAATTATTTTCTGCTTACTCTCATGACCAGAATTGAGCAAATGTTCTGAAAGATCGCACCCAAAAACCCTCTCTTTGAGAATACCAGACTGTTTCAATCTCCTTCTCGAAGGCCTAGACAATATGAATGCACGGAAGAATGCAATAAGTTTGCCATGTTTCCTAAATAAATTATACTATTAATTTTTAAAAACCCCCATCCAAAAATGTGTATTGATGACAGTTTACCTCAACACCGGTTTACTGGGTTCAGCCAGAGTGATTTCATTTGGAATTTTATCCGTTATAACGGCTACACAATTGGAAGGAAAAAATCCTACGACGAAACCCCGTTTGCCTCTCCACCAAGAGCTTTCTTCAGCAGGAGGCATATCTATCACTGATATCATATCTCCAATCTGAAAAATCAAATTGTTTTAACAGGGTTCTTTAAAAAGACAAATTTGAAAACTGCATACTTGAAATGATAGTTCATCAGTTGCATGTGCAGTATAAGGAGTGGTGGCAAATGCTGCAGCGACAGCAGGAGTGTTAATGCCATGACCGGAGGCTACAATTCTGCGACCTCTGTTGTCCAGTTCAAACCAACTTAGAACAGGACCACAACTAATAGCACAACCACTTCCAATATCACTCAATCTACGAACGTAATTATTCAAAAGTACATTCCTATCATTCTGGAAAAAATATACATATATAAATCATTTTTCAAGAAATCAACATGGAGGAAATTTCTTACGACTGATTTTGGTGATTGTTCACTAAGGATAGGAAGATTGCTGAATTTCCTATCGAAAACACACTGGTGGAGTTGCTGATCCAGCTTGCAGAAATGGGAATAGGTCCTGTGTATTTTCCAGGAATCCTGACCACTCCTGACGCATAAGGTGATACCTTCGAATTCCCCTCGGTTCGCATCTTCTTCACATATATTAAGCTGCAGAAAAAATATATATGTTTCTCTTAAGTTGACAAAAATGTATCTTTGTCCATTTTTTAAACAAAGATAAAGATAGTTCATACTCGTGATACTTAATTTTTTCACCAATGTAAATCATTTTTAGTCTTCCCTGTCTTCAAGCATCCAAAAGCTCTTTTAATATTATGCAAACCTCATGAAGGGGAGTAAAAAAAAATACAGTAGCCTTGAGAGCCAAGACGTGCCCATTTGGAAACAACAAATCGAATAAGGGTATCGGTGGCCACAATGGTTTAGGCATTGAAACAGCGCTCATCACTGTAAAGTTCCCAGGTTGATGCCCTGCAACCTCTGCTATTGTGCACCCTCATTTAATAAAAAAATAAAATAAAAATGCAATCTTAATCTTTGGAAAAATAAATGGAATGTATAAAGACATAGTAGTTTCCTGAAAAAATCCCTTCAAATGCCTGAAAGATTTATTCTTCCGCAAAAGCAAAGCTTTTGAAAATATAATTCCCATGTACTATGGAAACCCCAAAAATAGGTATCAAAGCCTAAACAGAATTTTTTAATTTTCAGCTGTGACAAAACCAAAATTTCAACAAAACAATTTTTATTTTTTCTCCATACTTAACATTAAACAAATTTAAAATAAACATAACAAATATTCTTAATACGGACATTTAATATATTTTTACTGCTTATGTCCATCCAAAAGGGGTGAATTTGGCTGATGGGGTCGGACAGCAGTGTCTGCGACTGGTATGGAGGGGTTCCAGTGTAAAGAATTTTAAAATGTACAGAAATCTTATATTTTGTGCTGGTGAATACAAAAATTTTCTGTTAAGAGAGGGTTGCTACAAAGGTGTGCACATTAAGAAAGGTTGTACTACATTTTCTCTTCTCAGAGCAAAACTGGAGTCAAAAAACACAACTTTTCAGGATTGCAACATTAAAGTTTAAGCCTTTGGTACACTTTCAATTTTTGTAGTAACTTTTTTATTGTTAATTTTATTAAATTCAATGTAGTTGACCTAGTGAATAAGTTTTTTAAAATTTATTTCATTATATCTTGACTTTTTGGTACTTCATATTATGTAGCAACAATTATCTAGTATTATCACAAATTTAGGGCACTTACTGAATATTGTACCAGCATTACTGTATGCAGTTAAATGTGATATTAAAACTAAAAAATCTTATAGTTGATATGTTACAAAAAATACATTTCCCTGTCGCACCATGACAAATATTCATTAGGACATCGGTAAATATGTACACTAATAGAAATAATAAAGGTGGGGGTGAGTATGTACATTCACTTTTTGAATTGTAGAAAACAAATTCTGTAAGTGGAACCATCATTTACAAAAAGTGAATATGTGTCTATTACAGTAGATTTTTACTTGAGTTTACAGATAAACAAATAGAATTATCAAATGTGACTTAACAAGACACAGTACTCTCATTATCCACATTTTTGTTATCCATACTTTCACTCATCCGCAGTTGCTATATGCAACATAATCCATGTGTAAAAGTCTCTGAATTTTACAATAAAATGAGTCATCTATCCGTAAAAACATCTTTCTTTTTATTCATCAATGCCTCAGACTATTAAGTTGGTCACAAAAGTACTTGAGTGTTGTGATTCGGTGTCGTGTACAGGGGCAAACCTGCTGATGCATGTACATGCGTACATACTGTTTTCCAGCTTGGAATAAACTTGCATATTCTATTGTACAATGTATTTTTCTTATTGCAAAAAAAACCCTAAATTTTGTGTAAGTTCATACATAACATTGACGATAAGCACCGCGATACACAGTATCTGATGCAGATGAAGACAGAAGAAAATGCTTTGAAGCCTGAAATTGGAAGTGTTTTCTATTATTTGCAGTTCTCGATTTCACGGTGATGCTTGGGTACGTATCACCTGCGGATAACGAGTCTATTCTATCTAAAAAGGCCCATTGTGTTTAAAGGGAAATGGTTTCCTTTTAACTTAATTTTATTAATCTATATATGTTTAACGGTTATAATTGACCATACTAATTAGTTTATGGTCGAGATGAAAAAGTTACTATCATCAGTGGGATTCGAACCCCCAACTTTCAGCTCAATACGCTGCTACTCTAACCACTTGAGCTAATGACTTTGAAGTCGTTGGTTCAAATCCCACTCATGACATTAACATTTTCACCTCGACCAAGACCTTAGATAAAAAGAATAATTAATTAATTAATAATTTATCCTCAGTCTGATGGGCCTAAAGACTTACTGGAATATACATTTATCACATTTAGCCAAAATTTTGACTTATCCAGTTTTCCCCTAAAGGTACAGATATATTTTAACATTTACCCATATAAATAAATAAGAAAACATCTTTTAATTTATTTATGTATATGGTGAATCTAAAACACAAATTAGAACTTTTAATGAGAAAAAAAATCAACAGCATTGATTTTCTTCTCAAACATAAAATTGGCTTTATTCCAATAACAAATTATTTCAACTTGTCCCTTTGTTAGAATTTGTATACTTATTTACAACAAATTTATGTTATAAATTATAATTATATATTGACTGAATAGATTTTTAAACATTAAATTTATGAGTGGAAGGTCCAATTTTATATCACAACGAAGTGACTATTAATTAAATATAAAAATATTTTTGACTTGATCCATATTTTAAGAATTAAATTAATCATATAAACTAAACAACGATTTTATACACAAAAATTTCAACAGTATTGATGCTCTTGTTAAAAGAGAAAGTTGGCTAAGTTCCAAAAAACAGCTATTCCAAGTCTGACCGGATTTTAGTCACGACATTAATGAGACCAAAATAATTATAAGTGAAATATTTTTATTAAATAGAATTGATGCACTAAGCCAGTGCTATTCACGTTGGCCAGATGTCTAACAGACATCTGGATTGTTGGAATAAACATTCTTTTTTCTTTTAAATTAACAAAAACAACGTTGTTACCATTTTTTAAAATGTTATGTCTATATTTACATCAGCTTTAGAGAATATTTACAGGGTCAGTTTTAGAAGAAATGTGTTGTTTTGAACACAATCAGAAAAAGGCCAATGATTACAGCCTTTCTATTTTTTACCTGGGGTTCTACCCCAAGAGCCTGTTTCGTTTTCAATTTATTTGATCCATATTTTTATTTGAACGTTTTTTCTTCTCCTTCAAAATTTTCATTTCAATAATAGCAAATGCAAATTTTGCTACTAATAACTAAAGGAGTGTTATGTTCACATTACGTTATGTTTTTTACGTTGTAAACAATAATAATAAATATTTTAATTGGTTTATTGCAATTTTTATATTTTTTGCGTTGCCCGAGTTAACTCATCATAATTTAACATTTTTAAGACGCCAATTTGGTAAATAAATAAAATCAAATATTAAAAAATGTGAAAGAACTAACTTTGACATATCATAAAAAACATAAATCAGACATTAAAAACAGGGTGCTTTTTGGAGCATACTTCTGAAAAAACTTGTAAGGTATGAGGTTAACATCCAACTTCCCACAGGTCATCGCAGATGGGAGGTCAGAAGGAGAGAATGGGGTTATAGTGGTCAAATCAGTAGTTTTATATTTTACAAATTTTATAAATATGTTTACAATTGGAAAAAAAAATTTTTAAAAATTAAAAAAAAAAAACAGATTATAGTAACAGAATAATAAAATATTTTTTTTATATTATTTATTTATTATTTTTATTATTATTTATAATTTTTAAAACAATTTTTGTACTGAACCACAGCACTGACAATTTTCTATCTCGATGATGAATCATCAAACGTCAGATGAATATGGCAATGTCTAGAAATTAAGTGACCTGCAATACCCCATTCTCCCCTACTTCTGACCTCTCATCAGCGCCCTATGGGTAGTCGGACGTTAAGCCCTACTGTATGTCAGGAACTAACTTAATTTTACAAACTCGGAATCTGACAGCTTAGAAATGCAAATAAAAATCAAGGTCCATTTTAAACCAAACGTAAAAGGATATTTAAAATTGGGGCTACAAAATGAATTTAGTCATTTCAGACATTCGTATAAATGGATAATCCATAAAAATATGTTTGAATTTGTTTCCCAAAATGTGCATGGACAAAATGTTAATTGCACACTTAAAATTAACAATTTTTTAACTTAATTTAAGAACTTTGAAGAAAACTTGTAACAGCTTGATTTTTGCTTTATAAACAGATCAATCAGAAGGAAAAAAGAGATTATATAGAAATTGAATCAATTACCTGAATTGGCTGTAAATCCACGTGATCGTAATGAAAGTGAGCGCATTCCTCCAGCTTCGGAAACCTCGAAGTAGTGCTCTGGGGGTTGCCGACACTCACCAGAGACTTGAGCCTGACACTCCCCACAACAGCGATCTGCAATCACATCGGAACATATTAAACCTGAACATTTCCATGCGGTTAATATTGACAACCTTTGATTTCGGGTATTGCGGTATTATGTCGTGCAAGGCCCTCGAGGTCTGCGCTCCACTTACCGAAGCCATCCCTGCTTAAGGACAACTTTCCACTTTATTCGTTATCCAACATCTTTGATTTTCCTTTTCAGTTGATATTCCTTTCGTTCCATCACAGATGTTTCAAACCTAAGCTGGAAAAAAAAATTATTAGCTGTTAAGACGACTTTTCTGTGTTCAATTTGGGAATAGTTACGAATAGAAAACTTACTTCCTTTTGAGAATCGTTCGAAATTTATTATTGGCCGGTGATAATCAATTTTAGACTGAAAACGTCATTCGCCTCGATCACAAACCACTAAACATTTCAATTAATATGTTATTAAATAACATCACTACATACGTAGGTTATTTTTTATTTGCTAAGGCCCCTAACCTGGAAGTACTCATTTCAAGCAGAACGAAATCAAGTACCGATTAAGTCCCACAGGGATTCATTTTTTAAATTAAACATCTTGGATATAACGATAACGTCTCTCTAATGTGTAATAAATTAAAATAACGCGAAATAATAAAATCTACATTTTCTTTACTTCTAAGTAAACTTTTTACTGAACAGACACTGCCTGGGAAATACCTGCGATTCAAATGTATGTCTTACAAAGATGAGAAGTTGAACCCTAGTTGCCGACAAAAAGTAAAAACTACTACTATAAAAATAAACAAACGTGGCAAAATTAAATTAATTTATTGGCTGAAAAGGCCAAATATTGATAAGAGAATAACGTAATTTGTGACGTAAAATTTGTGCGCGCTTTTTTAAATATTAGGCTGAGTTGCTTCTGTTCAAAAAATCAACATTTCTACCAAACTGCACTACTATAAAATCCATTATAACAGAAAAAAATTATTGTGATTACTGATATACATAAACTATAAGATGCACATACACATGTACAGGGTTGAGCATATTACTTCGGGCAGTTCACGAACAATTCCAGTTTTTGTCATTTACAATAAATTACCGTCAGGCCTCGAGAATCACCCATCTTAGGTGTTGGCAGTCCGGGTCAGACCTCAGTTTTATATGCCTAGCCAGTGAGGTTAGGCTCTGGGCACTGTCCACAATTAGCACTCAACGCATGCAATTAGGGTGGTTGAGTACTCGATATTCCTCCATCACCCTTTAGACCTGACATCATTGAGGATTGTTAGGGTACTTTACATGTAACTAAAACTACCCAAAAGAGCGAAAATTGCCTGGAGGAGGTGCAGAAGGCTCTGCGCCAAGATCTGGGGTCTAAACCCAAAATGACCCAATGGCTATACACCTGTGTCCTAAGACCAATGTTGACATATGGGTCGGTGGCGTGGTGACCAAAACTCTTCAGGCCAAAGCAATAAGACTATTAGGTGGCACCCAGAGACAAGCTTGTCTCAGTGTCACTGGTGCCATGAGCACAACGCCAAGTGCGGCCCTGGAAGTTTTGTTAAACCTCCCACCACTTCACATTTTAATCCAAGGAGAAGCCAGAGCAGCAGCCCACAGGCTTATGGACAACCATCTTCTAGGATAGGCCATGTAAATAAACAATGGAAACTGAGGGGAAGATACAGGCCGATGCATTCTATGTATGCCAATTGATGCCACTACTCCAAAGTACAACTTTACCAAGAAGTAGGAGTACAGACATAAGAAACACTGTGCAGATACTGCCAGGAAGAGGAGGAGACCGCAGAACATATGTTATGTTTCTGTGAATGTCCATGTAGGTGCAGGTTCTTGCAACTAGGACAAGAAAAACCACAACCAAGAAGGAGCCGCTGGCAAAGCTGTGGAGGCTGGTTAATAACCTGAAGCTGGTCAGTGAGTTATAAATAACAGGGGAGCATGACAGATCTATTCAGGTAGGTGCAGTAGGCCCTGTGGCCGCCTCTTTTATCCCTATCCCTATCTCTAGGGTACTCAATGTGGACCCATATATTCGCTACCTTCTCAAGGACAATTCTGATATCGGGCAGTATTCTTACTCGCTCTCTATATGGAACCAAGTAGTGGTATCCTTCTTAATTAAGTGGGACAAATCGGGCAACTTTTCTCTACATGGCGGCCACATACGTTGGCTTTGGCCAAAAGTAAGGTCCCGTCAACCTCTCTTTTTTCTCTATACAGAAATGTTATAACATACTGACATGCTATATTTAATTATAAATCATTCAATTTCCTGTGGCTAAATTGATTGATAGAGGACAACCAAATTGCATATTTACTTCGAAGATTTCAACAAAATATCACATAATAAAAATTTAAAAAATGAAACTGCGTCCATTAGCAGAAAGCTCGAGAATCATTTTTGATGTACAGGCAAGAAATGCCAATTATTTCATGATTGCCGCACGTACCTGTGGTAGATTTGTATGTTAGCACAAAAGGAGTTTTACCTCCATCTTATCTGTCCAGCCACTGAGGTTGGGCTCCGAGCATTTTCTACAGCTAAATCAATTCAGCAGTCAACGCATGCAGTTCATTCATTATACGTATTCATTCGTAAATACATCCTTTTCTAACTACAAACCATACACTCAGATAGGATGGTGGAGTAGTCGACATTCACCCACCTAACTTAATTGAGCAGAGGAGCAGGAATTAAGAGAGATTAATTCCGCAATGGACCCAGATAGCTGCCGTCCTCAAGCACATTTCTCATGTCGGGCGGTACTCTTACTCGCTCTCTATATGGAGCCAAGGAATGGCACCGTTCAATTAAGTGGGGCACATCGAGCAACTTTTCTCTACATGCCGAACAAATACGCGGGCTTTGGCCAAAAATAAGCTTCTATGTTTCAACCTCGACAACCTCTATTTTTTTCCCTGTATTGACATGTTATAAATATATTTTATTATAAATCATTAATTTTCTGTGACGAAATTGATTGATGAAAGTCTACCAATTTACAACTTTACTTCGCAGATTTTAACAAAATATCACTTAATAATCACTTAATAAAAATTCTTGAATACAGAATTATTTCACGATTGCAGCACGTATCTGTGGTATTAGATTCCAATTTCATCAGCACAAAAAACTCAGTTTTACCTCACTCTTATCTGTCAAGCTACCGAGGTTGGGCTATCAACAGCTTGGTCATTTAGTAGCACACCGGTGTCTTTTCATCAAGAATTTTTATTTGTAGGCTCGGGTTTGGTGGTTGGATCTCTTCTACGGTTACGTTGTATGTACTAGAACAGTTCTTCCTGTAAATGAAACACCACAGTTTGTTAGTAGGTGCATTGGTGTCTCCTTTGCTTCCTTGCAGAATCTACACGTGCCGTGTTCGATTATACCAATCTTCTTCAAATGCCATGCCCAGTTAAGAATCCTGTTAGGATTCGAAGTTTTCCCCCTTTTTTGATACATTCTATTGCTTCTTTCCTTTCAGAACTTGCTTGGAAGTTCTTAGATTGTTTGTTTCCAATGAGCGAATTCCACTGTTTCCTCAATTTCATTTTGCCTTTTTGTCTAAGATACTCATTGATAGTATGAATACCTGTGCCGCAGAAGGGCTCAGGAACTGTCAGAGGTATAGCAGCCCTTTTCCTTGCAAGGGCGTCCGCTCTCTCATTTCCCTCTACATGTCCTGCGACTCAGCAGAGTTACTTTATTTTGTATACCGAATTTGTCCAATTTAATTTTGCAATTCAAGCGCCATCTTAGAGCTAATGATATTTGAGCTTAGTACTTGATGATTGCCTGGCTATCTAACGTGATAGCTACATTCTTGTTTGTGCTAGTAACTTTACTTAATTCTTATTTGAAGGGGTAGGGGCCAATTTGAGACCAAAAAGTGCATTTATTTTCAATTACCTTGTAGTCTCAAATACATTTCTTTTTGCACAGAACGACACTGATCTGGTGTAGCCTTGGTAAACTTTTTTTTTAGTTATGACTCCAAACGAAAACATCGTCTATCAACGCTATCCTGCAGGAAGAATAGAAAGCGCTTCTCTGGAAAAGTCGTTTTTTTTACAATTTGGTGCCCTGTTCTACAAAACTTCTTCAATTTAAAATGACTCGATTTCTCTTTTTCTAAAGCAATCATAAGCAAACAATAGTATAGAGGAATTTTGTATATATATATATTTTTAATAGTAAATTTTGGAAAAAAAAGAATACTGAAACAAAAAATATTGGTTAGAATAGACCATATAGATTTTGAGAGAAATGATATTCAAAAATGGCAATATTTTGGTTTTTCTTTGAACAACTATATGACTTCTAAAAATACGCAGAGTTTGATTGTTTCATTGTTAAATTGAACGTACAGGCTTTCCTGAATAAGAAATGCCTATCAAAATTATAAGCCATGAATTTCACAGAAAATCAAAAATCACAAAAGGAAACAACCAACGGTTCGTCCGTTGGAAGGTCGCTAGCCTCAATCTTTTCTAAACTGGCAATTTTCATAGCGGTTTCTGGGTCCCTAAATTGTCCAAACGGCTGCCTTTTATTTTAAATCTATGAATAAATGGAACATCTGGAATGAAACATCTTAAAATTCATACAATCCAATGATAATACTTGGTTGGATTTAAAAAAAATAAAATAAATAAAAAAAGAAACTTCTATTACATCTATTAAATGCCCAAATTACATAAGATATGTGTAGCTGAAGAGATACTCAGGATCAATAAGAAAACAAAGCTTCCGAAAAGCTTGAAAAGATGAGTGACTACAATTGAAAATTAACTTTAATTTTATTTTTTTAAATATATTTTCTTTCCTGAAAAAAATTGGTGATTTCGTTCCTGTGTTAAAAAATTAGCAATATTTGTTAGGCAGATATTCAATTTGTAGTCATGTTTTCTAAGACCAAGTTAAACAAGATAAAAATACAATTATGAAGCACATTTCCCGTTCCAGAGAAAATTATTTCTTTTGTGAAATTAAATAACTTGATGATGTTAAAATTTCGATAAAATCATAAATCGAGATATATTCGAGAAATTACGTCGTAAATTCTCGTTGATATCGAACAAAGGATTTTTTTCCAATTATCTCTATTTCCAAGATTGATTTCGAGTTTAAATCAGTTCTTTATCTTTATCGAAAACATTGATGAATTACTGCAAACTATTCTTTTCATTTATTGTTTTCCAACCCCGAAGGTGACATGAAAGAAACGATTAAAGAGAATTGCAGGATGTTGTAGTTTATAAAAATTACCGAGATTGCAAGTTGTAAGAGGCAATTAAAACGAAATTAATAAATAGCATATCATGGTTTTTCATGCATGGCGTACTTCCTCCCCCCAGAATGGAAATCATCGCACGTTAAGGACAACAAAATATTACTGTTCAAATCGTACTTCTGAATAGTACTACTAGTTATTTTAAAAATATATATTTATATGAAGCAATTTAGTACAAAAATATATTATTGTTTATGCTTAGGAAGCTACAAATTCTTCTAATACTTCGAGAACGTTCCCCCCTGTCCGCTAGTTAAGCCTCTGTCTTAAGTTGGACTGCGGGAACAACATAATAAATAAATTAATTTAAAAAACAAAACAATTGTCTTATACTATAATAGTTACTCGTTTAACAAGGATCTTCAAGTTTACAGTTTAAGGACCACATTTTGACATTTGGTCTCATTCAATTATATAACAAGCTTTGTTATTGGTTTTTGTAAAATATGGTTGATCGTTCAACATAAATTTTCAGAAAAATGAAGGACATTCTTTT